CCCAAAATACGTAGGGGACAAGTGGTCTCGTCAAGTGCAGCGTTTCTCGACATTTTACCGTTATTTTAAATGGACTATTAATGCAGATCTGAAGTATTCAGCCCAAAGGATCATGGCGCTTTATATCAAAACGTTAATAAATATTTACCGCTAAAAACGATTATATTTTTTATCTTTAATAACATTGGTACTTGTATTATAAGTATATACAATTTTTCAAGATACATCGTTCCATTTTGAACTTAAAATTGAATAACAGTGTAAACCAGACCACGTACGTACATAATTACAAAAAAGCAGATTTTCCAAAATTATACAACGCACTACTCGATATCAATTGGAATTTTCTTGATTCTGCAAGCAGCGTTGACGTTGATGAAAGTGTTCAACTTTTGAGCAATACAATAAATTGTTTATTATTTTTAATAAGGATATACCTACTAAAAAACCTACTCCTTGGTTTAATGGTCATATAATACGCTTGGTCCGTCAAAAAGAAAAAGCCCGAAAAATCTACAAATCCGCTTATTCCATAGATGCATTTACTAAATTTAAGAACCTTCGAGACCAAATTAAAGAAGACATTTCTATAGCTCACTCCTCATATTTAAGATCAACTGAAAATAATATTAAAAATGATTCAAAACAATTCTGGTCATACATAAATTTTAAAAATTCTTCCTATTCCATACCCACTACTGTTGAAATAATAATGACTGTATAGAAGATCCACAGGCAATTGTTCAAGATTTTGCAGATCACTTTTCAAGCAATTTCTCCAAGCCAACTCAAATAAATGACTTCATCCACGAATCTACCATTAATTTACCTTTGCTTCACTTTAATTCTGTATCTTAAGATGAAGTTATCCTAAAAAAGCTTAAGCCTAATATGTCAATGGATACTGATCTTATTCTTTCGTTTCTTGTCAGAGACTGTGCACTAATTTTGGCCACTCCGTTTAAACATATTTTTGATTTAATTTTGAAAATATGTATTTTCCCTACTGCCTGGAAAATTTCCAGAATTACTCCGGTACTTAAAAAAAGGCAGCAAAAATAATGTTTGTAATTATCGGCCCATAAGCATTCTTTGCAATTTTTCTAAAGTTTTCGAAATACTTACTCACGATCGTATTTCCAATCATGTCTCCCGTCTTATATCTTGTGATGAACATGGATTAATGAAAAATAGATCTACAGTTACAAACCTTGTATGTTCGACGCAATTCATTTCGGAAGATTTGGATAGAAGAAGTAAAGGTGATGTAATATACACAGATTTCTCCAAGGCCTTCGACAAAATTGATCATTCCATATTGCTCCACAAGTTAAGTTCCATTGGTTTATGCGATCAAATCATTCAATTGATTGGTTCGTATTTGTTGGGTAGGCATCAATATGTTCAATGTCGTGGTTACAGGTCAAAGAATTTCGAACAAACATCAGGAGTTCCGCAGGGATCAATTTTAGGTCCTCTTTTATTTATAATTTTTATAAATGATATAGTCGCTAATATCGAGCATATTAAAGTTTTAATGTATACCGACGACCTAAAATTATTGCTTGAAATGAATTCTGTTAACAATTGCTTGCGACTTCAAAAGTGTTTGTCCGACATTGCGAAGTGGTGTCTCGATAATTTACTCCCTCTAAATCCTGAGAAATGTTCCGTAATGTCCTTTACTAAAAAAGTAACACCTATAATTTTTGATTATAAACAACAGAGCATTGTTTATTTTGATCCTGAACTAACCTTTGTTAAACACATTGAAACGATGTTATCTGCTGCTAACAAGAGCTTAGGGTTTGTTATTCGAAGCTCTAAAGAATTCCGAGACATATTCACCTTAAAAACTCTATACAGGGTGTCCCGAAATTAGACGGTCATATTTTAACAGCATAATCTACATCCTAAAATGGGAGTAAAAGTTTATATAAACATAGGTCCGAAAACGATTATTTTCCGAGATACAGGGTGTTAAAAGTGAAGTTCTGATGACACTCTTTTGTAAATATTTTCTAAACGTTTAAAGGTAACTAAATGAAATTTGGTACAAATGTTAACCTTTTTACGCTCTATTTAATGGACTAACCCCCAGTTTTTGATCATCTTCATAGGTAAGTAAATTAGGGAGGGCTTAGGGTAAAATTGCCCTAAGTTTTTAACATTTTTGACTATAAAATTTAGAAAACCAATGTTTTCTTTATAATAAGGCTACTTTTGTTGCATCTCGCTAGGACGCACCATTTTCAAGAAAAAAGCATTTGAAAATTTCATGATAAGTTATTCGAAAGTGTAAACAATAATTAGTAGGCCTGTGAAATCAGAAATTTTATTTTTGTTTTACTTTATAAAACCGGTGACTAAAGAAATTTTAGAAAATATTTACAAAAATGTGCTATCAGGACTTCACTTGTAATACCCTGTATCTCGAAAACGAAACGTTTTCTGACCTATGTTTGTATGAACTTTTATTCCTATTTTAGGATGTAGATTACGCTGTTAAAATATGACCGTCTAATTTCGGGACACCCTGTATATTAGCTTTGTACGGTCCAAACTTGAATAATGTTTTGTTGTTTGGAATCCCGTGCATAACATTTATACTGACTTACTCGAAAAAGTTCAAACAAAATTCATGAAATCGGCTTCCTATATTTTAGATGGTATGTACCCTACAAGGGGATATGCCCAGGCTTTACTAATATCTAGATTCAATCTTTCTGAGCTCGTGATACGTAGAAATTTTCAACAGGTCCTTCTACTTTATAATCTTTTAAATGGCTCAGTCGACAGTATTGATTTGTTAAATTACGTCAATCTAAAAATCCCCGAGCTGGATTAATAGTTTACTTGAGTTTCTACATGCCAGCTCCTAGAACTAATGTTTTGAACTCATCTCCAATGTACCAATCTATTTAAAAATATCATGAAATTCAAGAAAGATTGGACATTTTTGCATGTAAAAAATATATGACTAAAAATGTTTTTTTCTTTAACAATGTAAAAAAAAGATGTAATGCAATGTAGACAACCATTTTTTTTATCCTGTGTTCGGTCAGTTTTTTTTCTGGATGTTTACATTGGATTGTACAGCTTTTTAACAATTTTGTATTTTTATTTATATTTTAATGCTTTGTCTTTCCCACCCAGTAAATGGTGATTACTGTTGGGTGGTGTAACAAATAAATAAACTAATAAATATCTAGAACACTTTAAATTGCTAAAGCACCAACAAATAAATCAAAAAACAGCTATCAATGGTGATTGAACTCAGGCGGAGGTGAGCGTTGAATGAAAAATCGGAGCAATTCGGGTTGCGTCGTGCAATCAATGATTTTCAATTGGTGGGTTACTTGGGGTTAAAATGGACAACATGCGCAGTGTGCATTCTTATATCTTCGGTCTCTTTAATCTAAGTAATGAGCATAGTGTGAACATACAGCAAATGACAGTTACCGGTTAACCTCTTTTTTTTGCCTTTTAAACTTATAATAATGTGACGTTCTTTGAACTATGGACAATCCAGTTTTGTACACGGTAACTTCTTCTTCAGAAAGTAGCAAAATGAATTGACTGTTTTTTCATAAACGCCACTGGCTCTTTCATATGATGTTTCTATAGGTTCTCGAATAAAAAGTGTAAAACCGTGACTTCCTTAGAATTATTGATTCAGATTTCAGTTCCATTAATATCCCGTCCAGTAAGTCCGTAAAATTTGTAGAAGCAAATATTTTATTAACTCAACTTTAATTTTTCAACAACTTCTTCTGCTGGAAATTATATATTAGTAACCAGTTGCGAAAGCGTTGTTTTTGGCTCCTTAAAAATTTTTACTCGAAATCGGTTATTAATTTGTGGATTTTCCCCTTCGAAACAGTTGGGAAGCGACTTATTGTTTACTTCTTTTTCCCATCTAGCTGGGGAAAGTAATTTTCCCGACTAGTATGCGTCACTTTATTTCCCGAAAATGTTACTTAATATAGGATTTGTATTTATGTATCTTTTTCTGCGTTTTTCCTGAATCATGCCTTAGGTAGCATTTTCTGCTGCTATTCATATTTGTAGTGGGGTTCATTCAATTTAACTGTCGGACATTATCTAAAAATATATAAAGACAATTTTTGATATGTAATTATCAAAAAATTATCCTAATATCAGATTATCTTCGTTAAAAAACAATTAAAGTTATGACATAAATTAGATAATACCAATATTATTATTTGAAACTTATATAAAATGGTATACATACCTCGGAGAACTCATTTTAGCCTCGCATATTATGTAGCTGTAATAGAGTACTTCCCCGCTCGGTATGCAGTATGCTATTTCAGCTTTTTTAAGTTCATTTATTCTAGCATGACTTGTTTAGCAGCTTAAGTCATAGCTTTCTTGTCTCAAGTTCTTCTGTTAGACTTAGTATTGAATGACAGTACTTGACAAGTCAATACCATATTAACAAAATTGCACGTTTAAAACTATAAGTTATATTTTCTAAAAATTCAGTAAATGTAAGCTTACATATTAGATTTTCACAGGACACTGTATTGATTAACAAAATAAAAAAAAGAATCACAAATTCCATCGATTGTAGTTTCCTACATCACTCACAGTGTAAATTAGTATTAGCATTTAACTTCTTTATAGCTAACGGTTATTTAGTAAATATGGGGGTTCTATATTATCAGCAGGGTCCATTTTACCAGTTTCTCCTCTACTGTTTAAATTTTGACCATAAGACACCAATTTTTAGCAGTTCTTAGATACGGAATTTTTAACCCGACAAGTATACCTTACAATAAGTTAAATAAAGTTTAGTAGGTATATGCACTACATATATCAGACACAGATTTACGTGCGACGAGCAAAAGCGGTCTCTGCCTGATATGTGCATGTTCCTATTACCCCTGTTTAACAAATTGTAAGGTAAAATTTCCTTGTTAAAAATTTTGTATCTGTTTATATATTTAAAATAAAAGATAAATCAAACAACTTACTTGTGTTACCATCGGGATTCCCAACAGAAACATGAGAATACAAACAACTGCGGTAAATATATTTCTATATGGCCTTAAACTTTGCGACCAATTGTCCAGTATTCCGGTGATAAAAGATTCCACCAAACAAAATTCACTGTCAATACCCAATAACTGAAACAAACATTAATCATCACATTGTAAATAATTTTGATTTAATTGAAAAGGAGATAGATAATAATACTGGTAGTAGAGGATGCGAAATGAGGTCGACTTTCACACATCTGTTTAATAGATAGAAGTTTTTTTTAAATAAAATATGTTTATAAAAATACCGCAAATGGGTTGCCTAAGAAAATACAGATAAGAAAAGCATAGAAATTATGATAAAAGTTGTCATTCTCTATAATTTTGGTCAAACACATGATTTCTCTAAAATGGGCCGTATTCGAGATATTTGAAGAAGAGTGCAAATTTCGAATTTTGAAGTTAACTCAAAAACAGATGATAAGAAAAATACCAAATTTTAAAGTTAAGCTTTAATCCATCCTGCGGTGAGCTGATTAAATTTTAGGAAATTTGAAGCATCTGGGGAATACTTTACAGGGTGTAATTTTTTTTCACTTTAACAAAATAAATAGTCTTGACCCCATTTTCTTAGGCAACCCATATTTATAAACACATTTTATTTAATAAAAAAATTAATTTTCATCCGTTAAACAGATGGGTGAACGTCGACCTTACTTTGGATCTTACACTATGGTCTTCTTTGTTGCTAGGACAGCTCTATATTTAAGCTACTTATGTATTTTTAGACTAAATTCAAAATTAATAAGAAGATACTTACTAGGAGCATTAGAAAAAATGTAACTGCCCAAAACGATGAACCTGGTAAAGTCAAAACAACTTGAGGGTAAGTAATAAATACAAGACCAGGTCCACTGTTCACCACACTCCCTACGTCTGTATTTTGTTCCAACGCTAAATGTCCCAAAATCGAAAATGTTACAATTCCTGCTATCACAGACGTCAATGTATTTACAAAACAGGTTATCACAGCGTCTCTAAAAAAATAGTATATGTGACTATTTGTTCTTCGTTTTCGAGATAGCGTGTTAATGTTAATATTCAAAAATAAAAATGTAAACATTGAAAAATATCAAATCTTATTTTAAAAATTTTTATAACACTTTAAATAAATTATAAGTATTTCTATTAGGCTTTAGATTAAACCACCACATTATTTTGATTATATATTATCGATTTAAAAAATATATTTCACCAGATTTTACTAATCATCAAATTGTAAGGAGTGATCCACAAAAAAATTGTTTTGAAAATAGGTTAAATCCAAAATTGCGATAAAAAATATTGAAAATCTTTTTTAAAAAATTTTAAGTTTATGAAAATACCGCTCAAAACCTAACTAAACTATAATATAGCAATTTTCTTACCTATAAGAATTGTGATGGAATTTATTATAGGATCCTAACGCAGGTAACGCACCACATCCAATACTGTATGCGAAAAATATTTGAGAGGCTCCATCCATCCAAGGTCCTGGTGTTAATAAAGCCTCCCATTGCGGAGTAATATAAAATAAAAGTCCATTGCCAGCGCCTTCTAAAGTAACAGCTCTAACTAACATTATCATTAAAATCACATATGGAAACATGGCAGTAAACCATATTACCTATAAATGAAATATATATTATCACTTAGTAATTAAAAAAACAGAAATGTAGAGTAAGACATAAAAATTTTGTTCTGGAGTTGACCATGAATAAATTACGCATTTCGGCAATAGATTTTATACAGATATATATGTAGTTATCACGAGTATGACTTGTATGTGTCTCTGTCGATGATGACATTATTTTTTTTCTATTTTTGCAATTTGAAAAGTGAATATACGCCGGTGACATTCGCTTTCTCTTTAAATCAGGGTTATTATGTTAATCAAATATCGTTTGTTCTGCAGAGTATTTTATGGGGTATTTTTGCTCTGTGACATAATAGTTATTTATGTATCAATGGAATTATAAATGTCTTAATTACCGATGGCAAAGTTTGCGTCCCGAGGCCCGAGGGACAACAATTGCCTAAGGTTATTAAGGCCCATTAATTCCCGTGGTACATAGATAATTTTATTTCTGACAGATTTCAATAAAATTTTGTTCATTTTTAAAACGGAAAAAATTTACTAATTTATTACCTTCCCGGTATATTTGAATCAGGAACCGTTGATTATAAGAGTTTTGTTGTTGCTAGGTTGTTGCTATGTTACTTGTTTATAAACAGAACTTTGTTATCAAGCTGTGTTTGCGTTAAAAACTATTTCTACCCCAAATATAATGGAGCAGATTTTGAAAAAAGCTGAAAAAGCAAGAGAATCATTAATTCCATCGAAAAGTGAAGCCGTATACCAAAAAGAATACAAGATATATCTGGAGTGGCTGACACGGAATAATGTTATGCCAAAAGATGCCACTGACTGTATTACTGTAAAATGTTGAAAAAGAATATTGTTAATGGAGCAAGAAATGGTACTCATTGTCTAAGAGTATTATAAAAAAGCGTGTGCGCAGGCGAATATTGCAAATAAAACCTTTTGAGTCAAACATTATATTTTTTCTACGGCTATTACATAATATTTAAAATTAGTCAAAATGAGAAAATGCTGTTTTGTATTGTAACCTCAGCTTCTTTCTTTAGGAATATTAATTAATATAGAGGATGAGTGATTGTCGAAATAATTAATCGATCATTGAAAATAATCGATTATTTTCGATCAATCCATTGTTTTCAATCTATTTGTTTTTCGTATATCCTTTAAAATAGACTACTTGATTATCTTTGAAAAATCAAAAATAATCGATTAATTAAAAAGCCAATTAACCGATAAATCAGTCTTTACAAAAAAATATCTTTTATTTTAAATAATCGATAATTTTCAAATAATCCATTTTTTTTTTCGTCCATTGAAACAGATTATTTGATAATCTTTGAAAAATCGAAAATAATCGATTAATTAAAAAGTCGATTAACTGATAAATTGATTTTGAAAAAAAACAGAATTATCGATTATTTTAAATAATCGATTATTTTCGATCAATCGATTATTATCAATAATTTATTTTTATTGTATTTCATTTAAAATCGATAATTCGATTATCATTGAAATACCGAAAATAATCGATTAATTAAGAAGCCGATTCTACGATAAATCTATTTTCCAAAAAAATAACCGAATTATCGATTATTCTCTAATAACCCTTTTCATATTTCCTTTAAAATTGATTATATCTTTGAAAAATCTAAAATAATCGGTAAAAATTAATAAATCAAAAATAATTAATAAATAATAAAAAACTTATTAACCGATAAATCGATATTTCTAAAAAATAACCGAAATATTGGTTATATAAAATAACGAATTATATTCGATCAATCAATTATTTTCATTTAATACCTTTGAAAATTTGAAAATAATCGATTAATCGAAAATAATCGATTAATCGAAAATAATCGATTAATCGAAAATAATAGATTAATCGAAAATAATCTATTAATTAAAACACCGATTAAACGATAAATCGATTTTTCCAAAAAAAATCGATTATTTTTAATTAATCGATTATTTTGAATAAATCTACTTTCTTTTTGTATTTCCTTTAAAATCGATTATTACATTATCTTAAAATTTTAAGTTATTCATCCTGTATTTTATCTAATATTCTTATAAAAATACTACTAATCAACTATGCTTCTTTACTTCTTATTTATCTACCAAAAAGAGCTAAAAACCACCTTTAGTAAATATTCTTATAAAACTACTTTTTAAAAACAAAATTTAGTTAGCAACAATGTCTATTTACTTCTTAATTAAATTAAATATTTAAAATTTACAACAAAATATTGGGGATAATACCATTATAGAAGAAGGTAGTACTTAAATATATTTATTTTAAGAGACTGTTTTACCCGAGAAAAACGAAGTTTACCATCAGGTTCGGGTATTCCAAACTCCAATTGGTCTTACTTCGAAAATATGTTGTTTTATGCAAAATATACCAAACCAAGGAAGTAAGTAGATACATATTGCTCTGTATATGAAGTCTCATCAAACTTTTCAATTGATATATGTTTTATTTGTAGAACACATATAACCACACCGACACAGAGGTCGATAATAGAGAATAGGTCAGGTTCATCATGTTCGTCTTCCGGGTGGTCAACCATTAACACTATTTTCTCCTCGCCAACTAATACTGAATTAGAAGCAGTTGATGACGAAAAAGTATTGGAGCAAATAGATCCAAATATTGCCTCACCTTCAACAACAATACATAGTAAGGTTGTAATATCATGTTGAAACATGTAATAAATTAAAATTTTAAACTTCATTAGGAAAACGAAAGCGGATGGAGGATGATGTTGAAGACGTCATTTCAACTGTTAAAAGGATTGCTGACACACTAGAAACAAGAAATACGAAAGTCGATACCAACCGCACCTTTGTTGAGTATCTGTACAGTCGATTGAATGAAATGAAACCTGAAGATGCCAAAGAAAAAAGGAAGGCAATTATATAATTAATAGATAATTTTTAATTACACATTGTTGGATAATTAATTACAAGTATTTAAGTACATTATTACATTTATTTTTAAATAATAAAATGAGATAAACTTATTTATAGTAACATTTTTTAATTCAAATTTTATTATCCTGCCATTTAACTCTTCCACTAAATGACATGAAATAATTTTTAAATTTATTTCTAATGTCATAAACATGACGTGGTGCAATGTTTGCACCGACGCGACGCGTCCTATAGATTTTAAAGGAGTTTGTTCTTCTCTCCATGCTCCATTGTTTTAATTTTCAGAATCTGCATAGCCTACAGGACAGTAAATATTTTCCTTCCATTGTAGCATTTCTGTTTGGCAAAAATTGTGCAAGACTACTACTGCTTTGACAATATTATCTACATTATCAACTTTAGCAATAATGTCGTTTTTTAAAATACGCCACCTTGCTGCCAGAATACCAAATGTATTTTCAATGACTTGACGTGCTCTCGACAGTCGATAATTAAATATTTTTTGGTCCTGAGAAAGATTTTTTCCAGGAAATGGTCTCATTAAATATTCCTTGAGAGGGAATGCTTCATCTGCTACTACAACATACGGCACTTTAATATTTGAACTTGGCAAGTCACTCTCATGAGGTATATTTAAATCATGTTCCTCCAACCTTTGTCCAAAAATACTGTTTTTAAATATTCCCCCGTCACTTTGGGAACCATAGGCACTAATATCCACACTATTGAAGCGATATTTGCTGTCACATGTGGCCAATAGTACAACACTAAACTTGTGTTTATAATTATAAAAAAGAGATCCACTTCGGGCTGATGCTTGTATATTAATATGTTTACCGTCTATGGCTCCTATGCAATGCGGAAAATTCAAACGCTCACGAAAGCCTCTCTCAATTCTAATCCATTTGCTTTGTGTCGATGGTGTGGCTAAATATACAAGACTTAATTTCTTCAATATAGCCTGACAAGTCTCATGAATTATTTGATGTACACTTGTTAAGCCTACATTAAAGTTCCAAGCAAGAGCTTGCAGACTTGTCCCTTGCGAAAGATATCTATAAAATTAACAAAACATTAAATATTATACATAAAAGATAAAATGTTTATATAATTACTTAAAGTGTTATTACTAATCTTTCCTCTGCTGAAATACCATCAGATCTTCTTTGCTTCTTAATTAGCGGACTGATTTCTTTTAACAATTTCTGAAACAACGATACATTCATGCGAGTTTTCTTAAAAAATTGTTGAGGGTCCCAAGTCTTCATCAATTTATAATATTGAAAATTTCCTAACGATTTTCTCTTTCGGTTTATGGGACGTATTTTAAAACGCCGTATACATCTTTGCTTAACTTTACGTAAAGCAAGCGAACACAAAAGTATTCCAAGAATACCTAAATAGATATCTTCATCCATTTCACTCAATCTAGGTGAACGTCAGCTTCTTCTTCTTTTTTCCTTGTTCTGATTTATTTCGGCTTAATCGATTAGATTATTTACCCAGCACACAACGGCGTTGAACGTCAGCTTATAAATTATGAAAATCAATGGCGACTGCAACGTCAAACAGAAACGGGAACGAGAACGGCAACGGAAACTGCAAGTTTATAAATCGACCTTATAATATTAAGACGTATACAAAAGTTCGCAGTTTTTTATTGACAGCTGGTTTTAAACCCAAAAATTCGAGCTGTGACCAGTCTAAGAACCGGCACTTGTGATGAGGATGTAGCCAGCAGTATTATCCCCATTTAATCGTTATCTGTTTTCCTTATGATAATATGTTATACCTTTCCATCGAATAAACTCATAAATTATAAAAATTATCAATTATTAAAAGATGGGCATTTGCGCTATATTACAAAGGCTATTAAAAAGAAGGAGGTAATAATAATTATGTATTAATTGTAGTTTATTAAGAAAAAGTAATAATTTAAAATGCCAAAAATAATCAATAGAGGAACGAAATAATACATAAAAAAAATTACATTATACAAATTTGTGTCAGGAATATAATATTTGAAGTACACAAAAAGCATTTTGGCTTAGGCAGTTGTCATTTAATCCGTCACATTAAGGTATAAAGATATTGTAAAAAAAATAAAGTGCAAAAAAGAAGTTAAGGAATAGTAGTAACATGTTATGCATACCTTTCCACTTTGATGCAAACCTTTTCTTATAATTGCATATACGATTATCCAACCAATACAAAGAGCAATAAATATATTCCATTGAACACCTCCAATATCTTCTAAGCGACTAGTTATCCCCAAAACACGTTGACTAAAAATTTATATTTTTAATATTATTTTGGTTTTATATTTTTTATAGTACCTACATTTTAAATAACGACTCATTTAAGAAATATAAAAAGTGATCCACAAAAATATTTTTAAAGATAGCCATGACCGACAACGACAGAGATGGAAGCCATGTCCATGATAACACACCGCTCTAAATTAAATCCAAACTCACACTTTAAAAGAAGAGGAATTAAATGCTCCGATATATTTTAAATTTTAAGGCCTACTTTAGAAACATTTTTGTGAATCATTCCAAACTATTAAATATACAGTAAAGGGCAATTATTTTAAAAGGAAATAGATAAAACTGAACAAAAAATAATCTTAATTAATATTTTTAATAACATTGTTTTGCAAAAAAATATATATTTAAAATTATAATTAAATAGTAACTCTTTTTTTTTACTTTCCTATCTGTATACAGATATAAGGAAAGTATAGGAATCATGATTTTTTTCGACCTCGAGTGTGTGTGTGTGTGTGTGTGTGTGTGTGTGTGTGTGTGTGTGTGTGTGTGTGTGTGTGTGTGTGTGTGTGTGTGTGTGTGTGTGTGTGTGTGTGTGTGTGTGTGTGTGTGTGTGTGTGTGTGTGTGTGTGTGTGTGTGTGTGTGTGTGTGTGTGTGTGTGTGTGTGTGTGTGTGTGTGTGTGTGTGTGTGTGTGTGTGTGTGTGTGTGTGTGTGTGTGTGTGTGTGTGTGTGTGTGTGTGTGTGTGTGTGTGTGTGTGTGTGTGTGTGTGTGTGTGTGTGTGTGTGTGTGTGTGTGTGTGTGTGTGTGTGTGTGTGTGTGTGTGTGTGTGTGTGTGTGTGTGTGTGTGTGTGTGTGTGTGTGTGTGTGTGTGTGTGTGTGTGTGTGTGTGTGTGTGTGTGTGTGTGTGTGTGTGTGTGTGTGTGTGTGTGTGTGTGTGTGTGTGTGTGTGTGTGTGTGTGTGTGTGTGTGTGTGTGTGTGTGTGTGTGTGTGTGTGTGTGTGTGTGTGTGTGTGTGTGTGTGTGTGTGTGTGTGTGTGTGTGTGTGTGTGTGTGTGTGTGTGTGTGTGTGTGTGTGTGTGTGTGTGTGTGTGTGTGTGTGTGTGTGTGTGTGTGTGTGTGTGTGTGTGTGTGTGTGTGTGTGTGTGTGTGTGTGTGTGTGTGTGTGTGTGTGTGTGTGTGTGTGTGTGTGTGTGTGTGTGTGTGTGTGTGTGTGTGTGTGTGTGTGTGTGTGTGTGTGTGTGTGTGTGTGTGTGTGTGTGTGTGTGTGTGTGTGTGTGTGTGTGTGTGTGTGTGTGTGTGTGTGTGTGTGTGTGTGTGTGTGTGTGTGTGTGTGTGTGTGTGTGTGTGTGTGTGTGTGTGTGTGTGTGTGTGTGTGTGTGTGTGTGTGTGTGTGTGTGTGAATATTTTTTTTTATAAAAATTTTTCAAACAAAAGTTGTTTGTAATATAATTTTCTATAATTTTGAACCTATAGATAATTTCTATAATTTTGAACCTATAGATAATTTCTCTAAAATGGACCGTATTCGAGATATTTGAGAAAATGTGTAAATTTCGAAATTTGAAGAAAACTCAAAAACGGATAAAGAAAAAACATTAAATTTTAAACTTAAGTTTTGTTTCGGCCTGACGTGAAATGATTAGATTTTGGACAAAGTTGGAACATTTGGGGGGGTACTTTATGGGAGGCCGTTTTTATATTTTATGGAATATATCTGTTATTTATGTTTGGAGAAAAAAATTGTTCAAATAAAAGTTACTTCTAATATTATTATCTATAATTTTTGCCTAATATTAAAATTTCCTGAAATGGTCCGTATTCGAAAAATTTGACAAAATGTCCAAATTTCTGATTTTTATGAAAATTGTTAAAATAAAAGTTGTTTGCGATATCGATCTCTATAATATTTGTTTATACATGATTTTTTTAAAATGGACCGTAATGGAAAAATTGTAGGAAAAGTGCTAAATTTAAATTTTTTAGTATTTTCATTTTCAATGAATATCTATAATAATATAATAATAATAATAATAATAATAATAATACTCTCCCTAATTCACCTCCTTACGAGTAAATTTCAACCCCTGAAGTCGACTGAACGACTTGTGTAGGGGAAGGGACGGCTATTATTATTATTTGCCGTGGCGCTATAGAAAAATCTTTCGCGGTAGATGTATGTGGACAATGTATGTATTAGGTTTATCCTCTAAACATTTATAGAGATGCTGCAATAGGTTGTACAAAATAACCGGAAAAAGCCTGTAATAACTAGATAGGGAAGTCATGTGTTGGACACATCAGATTTTTAATATCGTATTTCATATTTTGTACAGAATGGTCCACAGTTTGTTTATTCGAAACCGTAAAAGGTAATAAGTTAGAACTATGGGAATTTATAATAAAAAAGAAGAGAGAGTTTCTTTATAAATTTTTGCAGACAGCTAGAGCTAAACCCAAAAAAATATAGAAAAATAGGGCAACCGTTTACGAAAAAGAAATTAATGAGATTGCACAAGACATAATCATATACTATTTATTAGTATGACGTAAGAAGTGTTTCCCTGACAAAACAAACCATTCTGTTAATACAAGTATTTACTTTTTTTAATATTATTTTCAGGTCATAAAAATAAGTTCAAAGGTTTGTGACCAAATAAGTTGTAGTGCTTAAATGAATACAATTTTAAAAATAATAGAAATAAAGTGTTAATGAAAATCTATATTGGAACACAAATTACGTTACCACCAATATAGCATTTTCGGTCATTACAGTTAATATCTATGCAACCGCTAAATGTAAAATTTTTAAGTTTTTAAATTGAGGTTTTTATTAATAGTCCGAGAAAAAGCATCACAAAACGTCGCTCATTTCATCATATTTTATATTTTGTACATATTATCTGTAGGCTAAAACAAAGCCATAAGTCTGCCAGTGTAGCAGTGGTGCATCAGTAATGAAATAATTATTACTTCAATCCTCCGATGGTGGTTTCTAGGTTGTAACGTTATCTTCGTCTACAATCTCATTTTCATAATAAAACGTTATACTTTAAGCAGCGCTACCTTGATAACGTTGTGGCGATTTGATTCTGGAACCTAGAATCAAAATTCGCAATAGACGACTTCTATACAAGGGAAGTGCAACCAACTTAACATAATAAAATTGACACTAATGACATAAGAAATCGGGTCACATAAAGAGGCTGTTTTTTTGTTCAATTTTGAATTTTTCTACTTTTATGCCATTTACATACCATGTTGTACCTTTTTATTTTAGGGTATTTTACATTTAAAGGTTGAAGGCATCTATCAATATCAGCTATCGATAATGTCAAAACATAAGCGTAGCATTGCAATTTATTTTTTTATTATTAACAGTCTATTTGTGTTTTTTTACGGTTTCCTTAAACATTTTTTCATTTGGTTTTATATATTTATATCTAATGCAAAAATGCTGCTGCTACAAATACAAGTTTCATATACTATACAAGTATATACAATACTAGTTACGTTATGCACATCTATGGTTACGCCTGTGTCCTACCATCAATATAATTGACAGCTGACACTGACAAATTTTTTCAACCTTCAGATGTAAAATACCCTAAACTTAAAAGTCTTTTGTACCCTACGGGTACAACATGGTATGTAAATGGCATAAAAGTATATAAGAAAAACGAAAAAGTAAACTAAAAAACAGCCTCTTTATGTGACCCGATTTCTTATGTCATTAGTGTCATTTTTATTTTGTTAAGTTGGTTGCACTTCCCTTGTATAGAAGTCCTCTAATGATGTCCACACCTCCGAGCAATTACTAATAGAGGGAGCGTGAAAACGAGTTTGTAGCCGATTGTTGTGTTAGCAACATCTGTAGAGGAAGTGAGGAAGCGGGCACAAGGGGGAAGGTAAACATCCTTCTTGTTCAGTGGCGTATCATTTATCTATAAAAATACACATTGTCCAAACGTTTTAGTTGTAAAAAAAAACTAAAAAATTTGCTAATTTTACTATTTTTAAAATGAATACCGTCATATATATATCTAATGCAGAAAAAGAAACAAAATCACTGTAAAGGTCTAATTTTTTCAATTGAAGAATAAAACCTTAAAATAAATTTTATAATAAATACAGGAGCGACTAGTTTCGGCCTTACAGGAACATCTTCAGGCCTGTAATACAATAATCTTTAATTATTATAATAGGTTGGTCACTTACGAATAACATTAAATAGTATAAAACACATAAATGGATCCATATTGTAGCGTTACAGCATTATAGAATTAAAGCTGTGAAAATAAATGAGCAGTGCAAACGTAACTAAAAATAAGAAAACTGAGTACGGAATCTACAAGAGAAGAGGTGAGAATGAGCAATTACGAATGCATTTAAATTGCTCGGGATAACAAATAAAGCTGATAATGTAGTGGTATAGTCCCCATCAAAGAAGGTCTGGATATGTTAAAGAGGACGGCGATTTCTCTGTAAATCTGGAGAATTTAAGGATGGAGGGAAGACGAATCTTGCTGGCTCAGGTGTCCATAACTAATATATCTTGTGTTTTTTACTTGGTTAATAGTAATTTCCTTTTAATGGACTATTAGTGTCTAATAATAGCTTAACTTTCCTTTGTTTCATAGGAAATATCATTTTATAGTAGATAACCTATTTTTCTTCCCACTTGAGGTATTTGTCAATTCTTTTACGAGTATCTACGACTTCGAGTACTCAAAACCCCTCTTGTATTTCGTATTTTCATGTATTCCTGAGGAGAAGAAAGTTCTCAAATTTAGCCACTGTCGAAAAGCTAGATCCTAGGGAAAACCCGATTTAGGAACTTCCTGGTTTGTCAATGAATCAACGCTGATACCGTCGTCCCAAACCAGCTGACAGACCCTTACTTGGTGAAGTTAGACAGAATTAGCTAGTGGTTCTCATCAATCTTTGTGGGAACGACAGGTTGTTCAAAATCTACCAGAACCAGAGGCCCTTGTCGTAAACTAGCTACGGACAACATACCGGTGAGATCTGTCCACTCGGTAGTTAGGAAAAGGCTCAGTTATATAATCTGACTATTTTGTACAGATACTCATAAAAGTCAATTATTTTTATTATATCTTAGCCTTCAGCTTTTCATATTTTTTTGTATTACTATTATTAAAATCTTGAGCCTTCAGCCTGTTGTATTTTTTTCTTTTTATTATTAACTAATAAAGATTAGTAAATGTTTATTGTTGTTTAATTTTCTCAAGGTTCTCATAATAATAGACCATACTCACTTAAGTAACTTGTGACTTTAGTAGAATTAATAATTTTTCTTAGCATACCTTTTTTTTCTTTGTTTTCACCTGTTTCTTTTTTTAAATAAAAGAAATTTTAAAAGTGATAGCGCCCTAGGGCTATAATTCATTAGTACAAGCTGACTCACACTCTGAGTATTCTCCGTAGACTAGTCAACCTTACCTATTGTGGTAGCCTGTGAATTCATTATAAAAAAAGGCATAAGTAATATTGCAAGGTGAGGTAAGTTTACTTAAAATAGAAAAAAGTCATTTTATGTTGCTAAGTGCCAACAACAACGTGAGCGATTAAAATTACTTCAATTGGGCATTTATCATCGGGGTGGTAGAAGCCCACCAACAGGCCACTTCCCAAAAATAGGACATCTAGAGATTTCTCTCGACGACGTTATTAACCTGCAGAACTTTGACCTGATAGGCTGGCTATCCCTACTAGACACCTCTCAGCAAAAACCAGCAGGTTTTTGATGGGTTACTAACCTAGAGGACTTTGACGAGCTGAGAAGATTGCTGTCTCTAGACATCCCTCAACGACAACCAGCATGTTTTGACAATATGAGAAGCAGATTCTATATGCCACTGAAGGATACACAATGGACCTTATCAGGCCTAAGTTATGTGGAGCAACCTGCCCTCCCTTCCTACTTTACAGATACAGAAAAGTACAAACAAAAATCAATCACAATTCATTAAAAACTTAGTATGTTACTCTTCCGATAATATACAACGTGGCGCAAAATAAAGTCCCCCATTTGTTTTTTATATAAAAGTAAGATTAATCAAAAAACCGTTATATTATAAATGAAAAATATTTATTTAAACTCTAAAAATTCGTTTTGTTACACACTAAAAAAAATATCGACCAAATGGCCACCCGCAGCATTAATGCAATAATGATCTCTTTTTAAAGCATTTTTCATAACTTTCTCCAACATTTTAAGTGGTATTTTGTCAATTTCTTCCCGGATGTTGTCTTTTAATGCTTATGGTGTTCGAGGATTATTTACAAATATCCTATCTTTGAGATAACCTCATAACCAAAAGTCTGGAACAGTTAAATCTGGAGACCTTGGCGGATATGCAATATTCGCGTTTTTCGAAAAAAGGTGTCCAGGAAAAATTTTGATAATCGACGAATTATTTTGATAAAAAAATTTTACGATTTCGAAACGTTCTCGAGGCGTATATCGATTCATAATGAATTTCCCAAGTATCTACTTTGCAACTGACAGAAAAACTCGAACAGATGTCAACTACAAACGAAACCATGACAACATTCCATAGGGTACTTGATTTTGCGCCACCTTGTATATAAGTTTAAACCACGCCGACAATTTAAAAAATGTATGGCTGGCTGGTATGACTTACAATATTAAATTTTATGAAGTTCATTATATTAGTATTATTTTTTAATAAAAAATCAATAAAAAAATATTTGTATTTACAAAAATATATAAAATGTTAAATTTGTATAAAAATTGGGAATTAATGAATTTCAGTAAAATATCCAGGTCCGTATTTAAAAAATAAGTTAAAGGTAATATGGCACGGCAAGTGGCAGAGAATTTCATTTATAATAAAAACATTGATATCTTTAATAATAACAACGTTAGATTTTGATCTTTTTTTTTTCGAATATATTTGGAACTGTCTTTAACAAAAAACGGACACACTTTTATTAAAAATAAACTCCTATTTATATTATTGATATAAGTTACCAGATAATAGCCAGATAGTGGTGAGAAAGGCCTGGTTTGAGACATAGTCGCAACAGATCTTATGAAATCGCTAGATTTACCTACAAAATTGCTAAGTTAGCAACACTTGCCTATGGTTGTAGGGAATCAGTTATAACTTTCAGAGTGACGCTCTAAGGTTTGATTCTAATTAGGCATTCCAAACAAAATAGCTGACCGTTTAAAATGACACGCCACTGACAGACACATGATATGTTATAATATGGCAACACTGTGAACCTGGTAGTTTGATAGAGTCAATGCTATAGACAGTTATATAGATTGATCATCCACGGTTTTAAAAATAAACATAAGCTTATACCTTAAAGTAAAAATGTAAGCAATTATTTTTTTAAATATGCAAAGGCCAAAAATTGGTTTTAAAACACATTTTTGTTAAACCGATTCAAATTAATAAATATTTTCCAGGCAATATGGCCGCTCGCAAACGACCAGCTTTGATCAATTTATATAACCATATATGTATCATTGACCCTGTTATTGACAACATGACAACAGGGTTGCTATATCTAAACTGTCACTCCCCACTGGTAGCCATTTGGACAGGTCGTTGGAATGCCTAACTGGTTGTATTTCGCACTGGGTATGCCTAACCCTAGATATGACGTCAGTTAAACAGTAATTAATTTGTAGATTTTTGATATTGAAATTAAAACCAGTAGAAGAGAAGGACCTAATATCCTTCCACCAGTTTGACTTCAGAGAAAAACACAGAACCACAGATATCATCGATAAGTCCCTAGAAGAAAAAACATTTACTTTATCGTCTTTTTAGATGTGGCTTAGTCTTTCATCAAAGTATACCATGAAGGCATGATTCAAAAACTGAACATGTTCCTGTCACGTCAATATTCAGAACTATTAAAATCCTATTTATTAAAAAGGTATTTTAAAATTAAACAAGAAGACGCCTATTCCAACCTAGGAAAAATTAAGACAGGTGTGCCTCAAGGTAGTGTACTAGGTTTAGTACTCTATTTGTTGTATACCAGAGATATTCCTTATCTTGAGCCCAATACCATCGCAACATTTGCGGATGATACTGCAATTTTGGCTGAAAAAATCATGAAGACGTTAACAGAAAATTGCAAAAATCTATAGACTAGATTAACACCTGGACTAAAAGATGGCGAATGAAATTGAATGAAGACAAATTTGACTATATCAGCTTCATCGATAAACAAAATTAATATATTCCTATAAAAATAAACGACACTAGGATTTATTTTGCCAATACAGAAAAATATCTAGGTATGACACTTAATGCTAGACCGCTGAAAAGAAACGCTAAAAGCTTGGTATAAAATACAAACGAATATATTGGTTGCTAGGAAATAATTCTAAATTATCTACATATAACAAACTGTTCCTTTCTAGGCAGATATTGAAACCCGTATGGAACAGGTCTAGTATCCAGCTTTGAGGCTATGCCAGTAAAAGTAACATCCAAGTAATTCAACGTTTCCAGAATAAAGTATTAAGGATAATCGTTGATGCAGCCTGGTACTGTCGGAATACTAATCTTTATAGGGACCCTAAACTAAAGAACACCAACAACGACTGCTCCAACATGGGAACTTTAAGGTTATCCAGCTCGTCAACAATGCCAATATAATAAGTAGACTCAAGAGAACCAAATGATGAGTACAGTGCGATTTAGTGTTATATATTATTGGTAGTGTAACTAAATATTTAGACTATATGGGACACTAGTTAGTAGAATCTTAGTTTATGAAGTTTTTCATCCCTCATTAAGTTAGGTTAAAATAAAATTGCTAAATGATCTTAATAATCAGATCATTAAAACCGCAAATGGTTTACTTGGAGCATATTAAAAAAAAATATTAAATAAATGCGGCGGGGCCAGATTATATTTTATAAGCGTGAGTGTTTACATAAAAGTGAATGTGTATTTAAACACTTAGTTTAAGCTTCTTCAGGACCCACTGTTGGTTGGCTGAAATATAACAAGGTATAATATATACTAAAAAAATTAATATTAATTCTTTCTTATTTAACATATTTTTTAAAATCTAACAAATAATTAGTTGGAAATCTAGCAAGAGCGTAATTTCAAAATAAGTTAGCCCGAATTTTATACAAACCAAGAAAATGTCTCACTCAAAGAATTCTTCAACTGGCGATGATCTCAATTGAGTAACGTTTGGCATAGTCAAATTTGTTGAATTTATTAGGGTAACATTTTTTTCATAGCAATTCTCTGTATTCCACCATTTACCTAAAAAGAATGATTATCGTAAAAACCAAATATTTATTAAAATAAAATAAAATAAATTCACGAAGCCATATAATACGAAATATTACTTTAGCTGATACCGCAGCAGCCAAAGAAATACAACAGAAAATAAATTTTAACACTTAGAATGTTTGATTTTTCATACTAAAGAGAACGTTATTCTTGGACCGGTTTCGTGCTTATTTAAACTCATCAGCAAGAAACAAAAACAGAAATGGTTCTGAGAACGTTGACCCCTTAGTAAACAAAATCAAAATCCAACTTTGATCTTGGTCTAAACGTTAAAATTCATTTTATATCTATATAGCTGTATTCATTTGGTTATAATGTAATGCCTGTCGGTATTAGCCACAGGAGTAATTGTTTTTTAAAGGAAAACAGTTCCTCGCATAACTCGCATTAATTTTTCAACATATAGTTTTGAGAAATTATTTTTTTAATTTCATTTTAATATTTGAGTTGGAATTATTTTCCTTTATTATAATATTAATGTAGGCTGCAATGCTTTTATTGGATCGGTAAGATGATAATTTTATTCTAACTTCTCATTTCAATGCTTAAGACGCTTAAGTGAACAAATAAATGTAAAAATCAGAAGACGCACAGGTTCTAGTTGATTTTCGTAGTATTTGCTTTGCTTTACATTTAAATTTTATTCCACAAAATCTAGAAGAGTTTGTACATAATAGCGTGTGAGCTTTAAAATTTTTCCCGAGTTGGCCATTAAATCAGTTGTGCCGGGATGGTTGTATATGGTCCGTATCATGAACCAGATGTAGAAAGGGGGATGATACTGTTATGATAACCTATTATTTCGGTAGGGTTTATTTTTATTATTTTATAAATATTATTTAATATTTAAATAATGATTGCCTATTCACTATATCTTCTGAATCAAAAGCGTATTTAAAAAATAATTTCCAATACATAAAAGATTTTGCTAAAAGGCATTTTTTATATTTTTTTATAGAATAAATGAGTAGTTAAAGTTGGAGGACATTTTTTTTTACATATTAATACTTTCCTGACACCGCCACAATAAGGTAAAGACATTATGTGACCTTAACTGTTGCAAGGGCGACTCCAGGGCTATCCCAAGTAGCATTTTTGGCTACCACGACTTTAGAAACTTTAAAGTGTATTGCCAAAGTTTCTGCCACGTAATACACACTGTTCTACCACGTGGCGGTAACCAAAATGGGGAACACTTTTTTGATGGCAACCACATTCCAGCCACGTTTCCGGAACTTATATAATCACGTTTACGCCACGTGGCAAAAACGTGGCGGCACAGTGGCCGACACTAAACGCTGAACTTTGCTTACTGCCTTTGTCTTTTGATTGACATTTGTAGCTCGGTCTCCGTCCTGCAAATTATTTCTCCCATTCTCCTTGCTTATTCTCTAACTTGACATAATTAGTAAACTAATAAGTAGGTACATACCAAATAATAATAATAATAATAATAATAAGGTGTTATAAAAATATTGATTCAGAAATTCTGATAGGCAAAAAGTTGGAACGATTGGAATTTTACTGTCAAATATAGGTGTTGTAGCTCGAAATATGGGCACGCGCCATTGGAATACTCTATATTTATTTAAAAAGTTAAAATCCGTAAATTTTTCATCTTTGAAATTATTTATTTAGATGCCTTAAACAGTATTTTTTATTAATCTTGGTTAAATAAAACCATTAAATATATTTGAATTTTACTGCATTGAAGCTATATGGACGAAAAAAAATTAAATAACACCTTTATATTTTCTCATAATGGCGATCCTAAAAATGGCTACAAATATGTCTGTTTCAGAAAAAAAAAACTTTAAAGTTGCAGAAACTAAAAATATGCCACTTTGTAGTTACTTTCATCAAATAAGTGGCAGCTGGAACTAATTCAAAATATTTTTCACCACTTGTGGCAGCCACCTAGTGTTTGCCACCATAAAGTTAATTATTTACATTGTTGCCAGATTAGCCATTTCTTCACTTATTTCAGAGTTTTTCAGTTGTTCAATAAGCCCAATATCAGGGGGGAAATCAAATTTACCTTAAATTACAAAGATGTCATTCATCAACCTAGCTTAAGGTCATGTAAATTTAAAGTAATTTTAATCTTGAATAGCGTAAAACTGCTCAATCAAATAATAAGGTACAGTATATTTGGAATCGCCATAGTAAAAAATATATATGGTTCTCAATTTAGTTCACAAAGTTAATACTTGTTAGTCATCTTTTTGGTTACCGTTTGTTTATCTTAATAGTAATTTCTAGTATAGCCTTATAACTTATGTATTTAACAATTTATGTTATTTCTTTTAATAAACGTTTTAAGTGTCGTTCTAAAAATAACTGAACACATACAAATATAGTGTACATTCAAGAAGATTATGGGAAAAATTTGTATACTATATCTTCTCAGGGAAATTGCGCTCTGATAATATCGCAACACTGTATTAGTTGTATTATTTCATATAATCTCAAAATTTACAGTAGATTTGACCGGTTAAATTTGTTTATGTCACAGATCACTTAAATTTATGTATTTAATGTTTTATATTGTGTTTGTGTGCATATCTTAGATTTAGATATGAGTTTTAAAATTGTATCGACTCAAAAAAAGAGGGGTGTTTGTTTCTGCGTTGTTTCCGACATGTGGGAAAACGAAGAAACCTTATTTTGACCAGGCCATTTAAATTTTTCACAACGAGAAACGTTGAGGCGAAATCCAATAAGTTCCCCCGAGGTAAAAACAAAGTAATTTGCGCACAGTAATTTTGAAGGTAATAGTAACTTTGAAATGGCTTTTGTTCCACGCAATATGTGGAAATCACTTAAGAGCGTGGCAAAAACGTGGCAAGAATTACTGCAGTTATACAATCAAGTGCCGCCACTTTAAAGATATATTTATGGTTCCCGAAACGTTACTAAAACTATCAAATCCATTTTAAGATTACTGTCACTTCTAGGTGGTATTTAAGTGACATGATTTGGTGGCCGTAACTACTATTTTCCACATTCAAGTTTGTGCAACTTTAAAGTGGTCCCGCTTAGTGGCTATAACGTTTCAAACACATTGAGAGGCAATTAAATAATATAAAACTTTGAAGTGATTCCCAGTGGTGAAATACACGTGGCTACAGATGGGAAAATATAAAATGAAGTTATTCTAACTATATAGGGGTACATTTAGTGATTATAACGTAATAGTCACTAAATCGAAGTGGCGATATAAGTTTCTGTCACTATAATGCTACTTGGGTGGCCCCCGAGATTAAAATTTTTACATAATCCATGAGCCTATTATTTAGGTTGACCATATACACAGCATTTCGTGGAGGTTTCAGGGGACCATGTAATATATTAATAATAATTTATAACGCCCTAGACAAACATGGATATTTCAGGTATTCCTAAGAGAACAAGCAGGAAAAGAAAATTAAAGTTATTGCCAATAAACTGCACTATTCCGATAAAACAGAAAAAATTGTTAATGAAATGAGAAAACGGATTTACAAACTCTTGGGAGCTACCCCAAAACTGAAACACAAGACCAAACAAACTCTTAATAAGTGATGATTTTATTCAGATACGATGAAAGTGTTTACAAAACATATAGTATCGCAGATATACTCGCAATTAGCGTAGAAATAATAACTTTAAAGAGATCGCGACTTATGCCACAGGGCAAAAAGTGTCAATCCTATGGACATACATAATGTTATTGTGCCAAAGCACGCCATGTAAGGTGTGCTGGCGAATACTAAACTAAGAATCCCAACCAAAGTATGTCCTTTGTGGAGAAGCTGGTTTTTTTTTCTAAAGCAGAGAACAACCCAACAAAAAACATAACAAATGAAGAAAGAAGAACATACAGCGCATGAACTGGTAAATCAAAAAATGAAATCAAAACTCATCCATTAAAAAAAAACTCAAAAGTACGTGATTGTTTGTAAGTTGCATAAGTTTAAAGTTATCCTTCCACAAATAAGTGATGGAAATGAACAAGGATCATGATAGAGCTGATTTTTTACAATTTCAAGCGTGGTTTAAACCGTAAATAATATTTTGAGGAAATAAATCGAGTGTTTGGTGCCAAGTCGTGTTCTTTCAACATGGTCAACTTTCCTTAAATGACCGTTTTCGAGGTCCTAAGCCAGAAACGGCAGTTGCAGAAAAAAAATATTGATCTTATTCGGAATTTGATAAAAGAAGACCGGCAGATTACGTTACCAAACATTTAAGCAATTTTATAGATTTGTGTGAAAGCAATTAACACTATTTTAAACATATAAAAGCTCATAGGATTTATTCTCGGTTGATTCCACAACTTAACTTTAGCTCAAAAAAAGAACGTGCTAGATGGTGGATCTTACAATTGGATGTACTACATCATCTCAGGTAATGAAAAATAGTGCTATGAGCCCAAAAAAAGCAACAATCGTCAGTTTTTGTCATTGAGAATGAGTTGGTTCTAACAAAAGTTGTTCGTGAAAAAAGCAGAAATAAAAATATGGTGGCCACTTTTTTGGAATTACTGGACATGTTTATACTGTAGCATTAAGGAGAATGTTCCTGTTAGAAAACTAAATGTGATGTCTCCAGGTTAGTCGATTGCAGTGTATGCAATAAAACATTTAAAAATACTTGTGTTGGTCTTACTATAAACGACCTTAAAACTCTTTCAAAAAAATGGCATGTTTGGTTATTGGTGCAAAAATCAATAAATTGAGATCAGTTATTGTTGAATTGCGGAATGAAGTAGCGGAGCTTAAACAGTCCATATCATCACAAAACAAACCAATGATTGTTAATTTCGATTTGTCAATTAATAACATTTTGAACGAGGTCCATGAAAGACAAAGGAAACAATGCAATCTTTTGTTGTTTAATGTTCCAGAAACTAATGGGATTAATAATCAAGAAAAAAATGAAGCTGATGCACAAATGGTTAAAAATATTTTAAAGCATGTATCTTCGAA